TGCATCGACACTATCATATGTACCAAATTTCAAGAACCTAGCTTGAAAACTTTAATTTTCGTCGAAAAATCGGCTCGCTGGCCCAATGTGCAGTGTACCATTAAGAAAATCAGTTTTGACATCCATATGATGTACTTTAAAACTACTGTGAGGAGCAATATTGGTATGCACGTATCAATGTATACGTAGTTGTGCGTTTATATGCATATACGTGCATATACATGTTGCACCACACAGCGACGCGAGTACTGTAGGAGCGACCCTCGCGACTGGAAAGGGATCAAGGTCCGACTATAGTCGGCCTCTTTCGCTCCTACAGATTTAGCAATGGGCTCGCGTCGCAAGCATGTCTATCATTGAGGACCGTTAGCCAATGGGAGGCTGCCACGCAATTTGGCGGGAATGTGGCGTCACCCAGATCACGCCACTTTACCGTTTTTATGGGCACGAACGGCAGAAAAGCCCCGCTCCAGAGCGGAACAGGCCCCGTTAACATCCGAAGCAGGGCCTGTGGCTGGCATATTAAAGGCCACTGGCAGCTCCATACGGGGAGTTGGAGTTGAAAAGTGATTATTAAGAGTGAAAGTCAGAGTGACAAGAGTGCCGAAGTAAAACTAATACGCGAAAGTTAACGCGAGTGGCAAAACAGGACTTCAAAGGTTCCCAGGACATTGTGGGAACAGCAAGGACATACAGTGGAAATCCTTGCGACGACTAATGAGGCAACCAGGATCGTCAGTGGCACCAACAAGGACATTTGTGCAGACCAGCAGCATAAGCGAGGCCTGCATATCTGAGTAAGTACACGTGCGTAAGAGAAGTGTTGTGAGTGAAACGAAGCTAGTGTTTTGCTCTCAGCAAGTGGAATATTAGGAGAGGTCTGTATAGCCGAGCGAACCGCCGGAATTCACAGATCCAGATCCTGGTGTTTTCGGAATCGCTCAAGTGAAACTAGCGTGTCTTAGCACAACATTCTCCCAGCCGGAGTACGCTGAACCCGCAATCAGCAGATGTACCTTGCAAAAGTGCAGCATCTTATAAGTTATACTCTAAGTGAAGTGAAAAATTTATAAAACCTATTCAAGAAAATATACTTTATGTTTTCGTACCATAAATCACAAGTGAGTAATTAGTATCGCAGGGGCTTAAACTAATAAATTTGTTGGCACGAACTCAAAGTCAGCTGAAACTAGCCCAGCTTAGACACGGGAAGGTTCGTTACAACTGGCGCCCAACGTGGGGCCCTGCGATATGAGTTTAATTAGGATTTGTGACAATGGTGCGGGCGTGGGTATATAACTTAAAAAGGATGAAGTGCTGCGTTATGGTGACGAATTCTTAGTGAGCTTGTCAGGCACACTGGACGTTATGCGGAGGCAGTTTGGCGAGTGGGTTGAGAGGAATGAACCGGAAATAAGGCCACGAGGACTCGGCAGCACACACCAGGAATATCCAAAGGTGGCCAAACAAGTGCGAGAATGGAGATTCCGCTCGATGGCACCACAAAGCCTTTGGAGTTCTTGGAGCAGGTGGAGTGGCCGGCTGACACATGGGCTGAATCTGGATCCCTAGGGGGATGCCAGAGCTGCTGAAAGGCATGGACTTGAAGTGGTACGTGGCCAACAATCGGCACTGGACGGCGTGGGCGACATTCGTGCGCAGCTTCCAGGAGTTTTTCCTGCCCAGAGGCTATCTGGAGAAGCTGGAGGATGACGTCAAACGCCGGAGGCAAATGGTACATGCGGCCCTTGCGCTATGGAGCAGACCGCGAGATGAAGCTCATCTACAACAACAGCCTGCCCGATCTGCGTGCCTACGCCAACCCATATCAATTCCGCGTGGAATTGATGCACCTGGCATACGAGTTCAAGGAGCTGGAAAAAGATCGGGAAAGATTGTGGCAGCAGCCACGGCCTGGCCGGACGCGATTGATGGCCGTGGACGACGCTGGAGACGACGTAGAGTATCGTCGCATGGATGATGACGGCTGACGGCGATCGTGGCTATTGGAGTCTCACATCAGCGAGAGGCTCGGAGGAGTGGGCGTGGTGCACGCCACACGGCGGCGCATACGCTTGGCGGACAGCAGTTGCAGTCAGGTGCACTCGCAGCTGGAGACAACGATCAGACTGGGAAATCAGCAAATCCAGATACAGTTGCTGATCCTGCCAGAGTGATCGACGATTTGGTGCTAGGCTGGGATTTCTTGGGTAGTATAGACACCACACTGGAGTGTGGCGGTTTGACGCTGAAAATTGGGCCAAGAGATCCCAAACCAAGCCGCCAACTGGAAGCGAAGTTATCGATGATTGCTGTAAGCAAGGAAGCGGGTCCCAAGGTGTAGTGTACGGGATTGAGGTCATATAATAATTTTCATGAGTATAATTCAGTCCGTCCAGTCGATGGAATTTCTGGACTTAAACGTGTGCAGAAGGCTCAGATGTGCGCACTCTCGCTATGCTCGCACTAGCTCGCCGGATTGTCGGGGTGCTTTTTCACCTATCTACACGGTAGCACCCTAACACACTTTAGTTATAGTGCGCTTCAGATACTAAACAAAATAAACCATAAGTGATGAAAGCGCCGACAGGCTATATATGTAAAACCATCCTATGTTTACAACTGGCGGAGAGGACAATATTCCTTGACAATATTGAATATTTTAAGATATTGTCCCTTAATTAAGTTCTCAACGATCTTAACTACATCTTATAAGACTCGGCATG